CAAATATTCTGGATAGCATCTTAAATAATCTGGTAAAAGTTGTCCCTTAGCAACCCTAGATCTCAGAGGTTGAATGGCTGCACAATATTTTTAATAATGAAATAAATATTTGTCTTTACAAAGACAGTATTTCCTTGTTTCCACTTAGAGCTAACATTAACAGTTACAAACAAGTACACTTAAAAAACACTTCCTGTGCCACCAAGAATATTTAAAATGTATGTGCTTCAGACATTTTTTCAAATGAAAAAATGAAAAAAGAAAAAATGAAAAAATGAAAAAAGAAAGCAAATTATTTGCATTGTTTTAATAATGAAACTGGGAATGACCACAAACACAATTGTAACATGATTATTTTTTTTTTTTTCCCTGAGGCATAGTACAACTAGAAAGATGATAGAGGAAGGCATGAACTCTAGTCCATCTTTCTTCTCCTAAGATCAGTTTCTACAAAATTTAACTTGGAGCTTAATTGGGTATATGGTCACCTGGTGTTAAAAATGGGTTTACCAGAGTTTTATATATATGCCAGCCTGCCTGTTCTTTTTTTTCTGTTTTTCACTTAACACTTGGGGAAAATCCAGTCTGTTAACATCAGTGCAATAAAGACAACTTCTCCAATGACTTGTTAAGAAGAGACAGAAGTGTTCATAGGCTTAAAATTCATCTGATATGTAGCTTCTCTGGAGCAGAGGAGCAGAGGTAATGGGTCTGTTTCTGCACCTGCCTTTAAAGCCTATCAATCTTTTTGCTCATTGTACTGACTTGGAATTTGGTGAGGAAGAGTAGGTCAATAATTCATCAAACTGTGGAACAGCAAGAAATGTAATGAAAGATCTATGTCCACAAGCAGCAGAAACATGCTTCAAAGCAATGCTGGGCCACAAACAGGTGGCTAAGGAAGAGCTGAGAGGAGGTAGCCAGTCTAACAAGGCTCTTCACTTCAGCACAGAAATGAGAAGGGAAGCCAAAGACTGAAAGCAAACCCAGGCCACTGCCAAGGAAGATTGAGGAAGAAGTTATTAAGAGGAAGAACAATGAGCTCTGGGAATGAACCACCCATTAATGTAAAATGCCAAGTGGATTTGCGTCTCTTGGGGATTGTAGGTTAAACCTCGATGTCCTTCTGGAGGGAGTGATCTAATCAAGCATTTGCCAGGGGGGTCAGGGCCCTTTGACTCTGGTGGCTTCCAGGAGCCAAACCAGCAGGTTTAATGGTCCTTTTGGCAAAGCCATCATGTCAAATAAAGATCCCTAATAAGACAGGGGATGAGTGGGGCAGCCATGGGGGCAAATTTGCCAGAATTGTCCAGCTGTTGTTTCTTCTACAACAGAAGTCTTTGGGATTAGAATGATAACGTCTGAAGAAAGCTTGTACAGATAAGGCAGGGAAGTGTGTCACCCTTGGGGGCCAGCCAGCTTTCTTATCATTCTGGTGCAGTATACTCAAAAAGCAACTTCAAGGGGTTTTCTTTGTTTGTTGTTTTTTGGTTTCATTTCTTTTTTGCAGGAAAATGAAGTCTTGTAGCTGAAACCAACTGTGCCAGGCGCTGTGGTTACATCAGGTCCCAGAAATGCTGATGCCCAGGGAAGCTGAAGGGCTGAAGCCAGACAGACGTGCAGGGGGAACTGTAGCTAGCATTGTGAACAAGATCCCCTCAACTGTCACAAAGTCAGGGATGAAAGTTTGCTTTGCAGTGATGGCTGTGCAGCATGGCCACCCAGCTGTTAGCATGTTGGCCCTTTGCCTCTTAGTACTGGTGAGCTTGTGCCCCATGTTTCTGCATTGCCCAAAACAGTGGAGTCTCAGGCTCCAGAATCAGGCTCTGGTACAGACCATGAGCAGGTATGGACAGAGTTCCCAGGCTCTGAGCTGCTCATACCTAGAGGCAGCCAGGAGGGCCATGACCTCAGATTCATAGAATCATAGAATCAATCACAGAATCATAGAACCATAGAATGGTTTGGGTTGGAAGGGACCTTAAAGATAACCTACTTGCGACCTCCCTGCATGGGCAAGGCCACCTCCCACTAGATCAGGTTGCTCAAAGCCCCATCCAACCTGGCCTTGAACAATTCCAGGGAGGGGGAATTGATCATGTTAGCTCAGGGGGCTTTTGGAGGCTGCACCCCCCATGTCCATGCCCTTGCTCTTTTGTCCTTTCTTGCTCATTGTGTGACCCCAGGCACTGGAGTAATGCCTCCATATGGTATGGGCAAATGAGAAAATTTCTCTGGGGCATGCTGAGATATGAACTTGTGCTGCACCAGCTGCTTGGCCATAATTGCCTGCAAGTGTGCTCTCATGTGGCAAAGCTCCTCTCATTTTCACTGCTTTCCAGAGAGCTTCAGGGAGGTAACATGAGAATGGGCAGTGTCCACAGAGCAGCTGACACCCTGCCAGTTCACATCCTGCTTTACCCCAGGAAAAATTACTTTGGTGTCATTAAAGCAAAAAACTCATCATATAATCAAATGATGGCAGATCATGACATCCTACAATAGAAAGAGCAGGGTCTTCAAAATTTCTCCTTCAGAAATAGAAGTCAGGATGAATTGTCTTTGAGATTTGTCTAGACAAAGATGATGTTATTGCCTTGACCCATCAAGGGAGTACTCACCAGGTCTCTGTGATGTAGATCACCTTTTCTAAATCTCTGTTTCATTCTTTCTTTCTCTCTCAATTTTTTCCACTAAACCTTTGCTACTAAGAAATACATCAGATGGTCTCAAAGGGAAAAATACAGTGACAATTGATAAGCTGCAAAACAAAACTGTAAAATAAAAAGTCGTTTGTCTCAATCTGAGCTGTAATTGGTAGAGCAGTGTACATTGCTCTACCAAAGCGTGCCTACATTTCATCATACCAACATCAGTGATGGGAAAAGGACAATGAGGCCATATTGCAATATTAGTTAGAGACAAGTGCAAGAAAAAAAAAAGAAGTAAAGCAGTCAGCAGAGTTAAAGTCGAAACATTACCAAATATTGCTTACATGCAAATAATGATGCAAGGAAATTCAGCACTGGGGGCTGAAGGAAAAGAAGTAAAGCAGTCAGCAGTGTTAAAGTTGAAACATTACCAAATATTGCTTACATGCAAACAATGATGAAAGGAAATTCAGCACTGGGGGCTGAAGGAAAATGCTGGAGAGCTGATCACCAGTACTGCTGATGCAGTACTGCTTCTTGTTTACTTTCTGGGGCCAGCCCTGCCCTGGTGTGGATGGAAGAAAGAGGGCTGGACAACCATGGCTACAGTTTATGGCATGACAGTGCACAGAGACCCAGAAAATATTTGCAGGTAGATCCCTACCTGTACTCACTGGCAGACTGACACGCCTCTAATTTAACACTATTTAGTCTATTATACCAATTATGGAATCAGACTTAATATCCTGACTGCTGTATCACCTAAAAGACTGGGTTTTAGGGGAATTCAGCCAAACTGCTCAGCTGTCCTACAACCACATTTTCAATAGCCTAAATGCCATACTATGCTGTACCTACACTTTGTATTGAAAGTGGTATCTGAGGGAATTTTTTTTGTCATTTAACAGGAAGAACAGCTTTTTAAAATAGACTGGAATGACAGTTCTCATAAAATCTGTTCCTAGTAGTAGTAGTTTGTTTTTTTTTAATTATATAATTCAATAAACATCATAAGACATACCGATTTCAGTTCCTGTTCCTCACTACTTGGCACATGTATCACATCCTGTTGTGTTACATGGTTTCCCATTTGACTGTGCCATGATGAGAAATTAATCTTTTTTCTAATTTTTCTCATTCTAAAGACAACAATAATATGTTATTTTAGGTATATGGTGGGCATTGTTTTGGTCTGGACACTAATGCATCCAGGAATGCAGTAGCATTTTTCTTGAAGGAGGAATATTTTAGTATCAGAGATATGAAATTTCCAAAATTTCCAAAATGTCCTAGATTCTTTAGTTCAGGGCAACGGCTTATAGCCATAGGACAGAGGCATGTTTGCTTTCTTCTGCAGTATTAAGAATAGTTCTTGAAAGAAGTACTAAGAATATTTTTTACTATACTTGTTCTTTAAGTAGCTTTCTAGGTAGTCATTTTAGACTGTCAGTATGGAACACTGTGAGATTCCAAACCCATGTGTAGTATAATTCATTCTCTCAAATGAGAGCTCATACACAAGATAATGTTGAGATAATCAAACTAAGAAAAACAAGAAGGGTAATTGTAGCAGGTGACTCCCTTCTGAGGGGAACAGAGGGCCCCATTTGTTGACCTGATCCACTCCACAGGGAAGTCTGCTGCTTCCCTAAGGCTCAGTTAAGATATATTAAAAGGAAGCTCTCTGGTCTGGTGCAGCCCTCTAATTATTACCCTCTGTTGGTTGTCCAGGCTGGCAATGATGAGGTTGCAGAGAGAAGTCCAAGGGCAATTAAAAAGGACTTCAAGGCATTGGGGCAACAGGTTGAAGACTCAGGTGTGCGGGTGGTATTTTCATCAATCCCTCAAGAGGTAGAGAAAAACACTGAAAGAAGATGTGTCTCTGAAGCTGGTGCCACCATCGGAATTTTGGATTCTTTGATCACAGAGAAGTTTATAGGGCACTGGGTCTGCTGGTGACAGGTGGAGTACATCTGTATCAAAGGGGGAAAAAGATCCTTGCAAATGAGTTGGTGGAGCTCATTGAAAAGACTTTAAACTAGGCTCAAAAGAGAAAAAGGTTAAAACTAGGCTCGCTGGAGATGAGCCTAAGGGCGGCCTTCAGTCTGCCTTCTCACTTGAGATGGGAGATGGTAATGACACATGTGGCAACAAAAACACAGGGCTCACTGATAGGTTAGTAGCCATGGAAGTGGCTGAGAATTGTCAGACGCTAATTAGGACTTCTGTCCCCAGAATGGTGGCAGGATTGTTAGCCCAGCTGAAGTGCATCTACACCAATGCATGGGCAATAAACAGGAGGAGCTGGTAGACATTTTGTAGCAAGAAAACTATTACATAGTTGCCATCATGGAAACATGGTGGCACAACTCGCACAACTCACACAACTGGATTGCTGCAGTCAACGGCTACCAACTCTTCAGAAGGGATAGGTAAGGAATAAGAGGTAGTGGGGTGGCCCTCTATATCAGAGAGACATATTGTCCTGGTTTGAGCCAGGATGAAGCCAATTTTTCTCTTTACTGATTTTTTTTTCCTTCAGTAAGCTTTCTTGTAACTAGCAACAGTGTGTTCTGCTAGGCTGATAAGACAGAGGAATGTTTTTCTAACTACTGAGGCTTCAAGGCTGCACCTGCACTCTGCCGGCTCAGACACTATGGGGAGATCTGTGACCCCCCCGTAGGAGGCTGAGTTAGACGGACAGCAAAATTGGCCAAAGATATTCCATTCCATATATCTACGTAAGCTCAAAGGAAGGTCAGAGATCACAGAAGACAACTTCCTTCCTTCTTCTTCTTTCCTTCTCTTCCATCCGTGGCCGGCGTCCGGGGAGGACTCTGTTCATCCATCACCGTCGACCCTTAGGCTCGAGATCTCCTGACCCCCATAACTCTCTGCTTTCTCCAGCAGCAGCTCTGGGATTCCTCAGGACTCTTCCCAGTTCAGGGAAGGGCTGTGGGAGTTGCTGGGGTGGGGGGAGGCGAGAGGCTTTTGCCCATACCTGAATCTATCTGTATATAATTGTATATATTGCCTTGTATCATCCATTAATGTTTTAATTAAAACTGTGTAGTTTAGTTTTCAATCCAGCCAAGTCTCTCTCTTTTTCTCTCTCTCCTTCCCTACGTGGGTGGGGGAGGAGAGGGGATCGAGAGCATTGTTGTCGGACCTGAGTCAAACTGTGACATATATGAATGCCTAAAAACTAATGAAAGTGATTATAGGGTTGAATCCTTATGGATAGGAATCAAGGGGAAGGCCAAAAAGGGTGATATAGTGGTTGGAGTCTGTTATAGACCACCCAACCAGGAAGAGGGGGTGGATTAAATATTCTATAAGCAGCTGGGAGAGGTTTCATGATCACTACTCCTTGCTCTCATGGGGGACTTCAACTTCCCAGATACCTGATGGAAATACAATACAGCAGAGAAAGAATAGTCCCAGAGGTTCCTGGAGTGCATGGAAAATAAATTCCCTGATGCAGCTGGTGAGGGAGCCAACCAGGGTGAGTGCCCTTCTGGACTTGCTCCTTGTGAATAGAGAAGGATTTGTTGGGGAAGTAACAGCTGGAGGAAGCCTAGGGCATAGTGACCATCAACTTAAAGAGTTTTCAATTTTTGAAGAAGTAAGGAGGGGAGTCAGTAAAATTGCCACCTTAGACTTTCAGGGGGCAGACTTTGATCTGTTCAGGGGACTGACTGACAAAGTCCCTTGAGAGAATCATAAAGGGTAAAGGAGTCCAGGAAGGCTGGACGTACTTCAAGAAGGAAGTCCGAAAGGCCCAGGACCGAGCTGTCCCCATGTGCTGAAAGATGAACTGTTAGGGAAGAAGACCAGCCTGGCTGAATAGAGAGATTTGGCTGGAGCTCAGGAAGAAAAGGAGAGTTTATGGCTTCTGGAAGAGAGGACAGGCCTGTCATGAGGAATTCAGAGTTGTATAAGGCAATGCAGGGAGAAAATTAGGAGGGCCAAAGCCCAACTTGAACTCAAATTGGCTACTACTGTTGAAGACAATAGAAAACCTTTCTATAAATATATGAATAACAAAAGGAGTAATAGGAGAATCTCCATCCTTTATTGAATGCAGGGGGAAACATAGTGACAAAGGAGGAGGAAAAGGCTGAGGTGCTAAATGCACCCCTGAGCTGGAAAATGGGGAGGTGGGGCAGAATGAGACCTTTGTAATCCAAAAGGAAATGGTCAGTGACCTGTTACACCACTTAAACATTCATAAGTCTATGAGGCCGGAGGGGTGAATCCAAGAGTACTGAAGGAGTTGGCAGATGCACTTGCCAAGCCTCTTTCCTTCATTTACCAGCAGTCTTGGCTAACTGGGGAGGTCTCAGTGGACTGGAGGGAAGCAAATGTGGCACCCATCCACAGGAAAGGTTGAAAGGAGGATCCAGGGAACTACAGACCTGTCAGTCTGACCTTGGTGATAGGGCAGGTCATGGAGAAGATCATCTTGAGTGCCATTACATACCATATACAGAACGACGAGGTGATCAGGTCCAGTCAGCACAGGTTTATGAAAAGAAGGTCCGGCTTAACAAACCTGATCTCTTTCTATGACAAGATGACTCACCTGGTCAATGAGGGAAAGGCTGTGGATGTCATCTGCCTGGACTTCCATAAGGCCTTTGACCCTGTTTCCCACAACATTCTGATGAAAAAACTGGCTGCTCATGGCTTAGGTGGATGTACATACTACTGGATAAAACACTGCCTGGATGGCTGGGCCCAGAGAGTGGTGGGGAATGAATTTAAATCCACCTGGCAGCCAGTCACAAGTGGGGTTCCTCAGCCCTCAGGGTTGGGACCACTTCTTTTTAACATCTTTATCAAGAATCTTGATGAGGGAGTAGCATGCACCCTCAGTAAATTTGCAGATGACACCAAGCTGGGAGGGAGTGTTGATCTGCCTGAAGGTAGGGAGGCTCTACAGAGAGACTTGGACTGATTAGATTGATGGGCAGGTCAACTGTATGAATTTCAACAAGGTCAAGTCCCAGGCCCCATGCAATGCTACAGGCTTGGGAAAGACTGGCCGGGAAGCTGCCTGGAGGAGAAGAACCTGGGGGTTCTGGTTGATAAGCAGCTGAATATGAGCCAGCAGTGTGCCCAGGCAGCCAAGAAGGCCAATGGCATCCTGGCTTGTATTAGAAGTAGCGTGGCAAGTTGGATCAGGGAGATGATCGTCCCTCTGTGCTTGGCATTGGTGAGGCCACACCTTGAGTACTGCATCCAGTTTTGGGCACCTCAATACAAGAAGGACATCAAGGTGCTGGAGCATGTCCAAAGAAAGGCAACGAAGCTGATGAAGGGCCTTGAGAACGAATCTTATGAGAAGAAGCTGAGGGAACTGGGACTGTTTAGTCTGAAGAAAAGGAGGCTGAGGGGACACCTCATCACCCTCTACAACTACCTGAAAGAACGTTGTAAAGAGGTAGGTGCTGGTCTCTTCTCACAAGTAACTGGTGATAGAACAAGAGGAAATGGCCTCAAGTGGCACCAGGAGAGGTTTAAACTGGGCATTAGGAAGAACTTTTTCACTGAAAAGGTTGTCAGACACTGGAACAGGCTGCCCAGGGAGGTGGCTGAGTCACCATCCCTGGATGTGTTTAAAAGTCCTCTAGATGTGGCACTTGGGGATATGGCTTAGTGCTGGACTTGGTAGAATAGGGTTAATAGTTGGACTCAATGATGTTAAAGGTATTTTCCAACTTCAGTGATTCTATGATTCTATGAAAAACATAAGCAAGTTGCTATTAAGTCTATAAAATGACCGACAACATTTTTTCATTTAATCTGTTTCTTAATATTCTTGATGTCCAGTGAGATGTAAAAGAAAAATGTTTAATTTGTACAACAAATACCTGCACTTCATTTTATACTTATGTCCTTAGAATAAATTTTAGTCTTGAGCTCTAAGCAAGTATATTCACATTTGAAAATGTCACCTGTTCAGCTACTGCCAAGATGGCCCTTAAGCATTTTCTTTGAACACTTCATTAGCCCTCTTCCCACAAGATCATGATTATCAGAAACAAAGAGAGATCTTAATTGTATGTCATTGTATGAATTTAATCCTATTACAGCTTAGGAGGGCTGAGGTTTGAAATGAGTTTTGGTAGGTCTTCTATGCCTTAATGTTTTAGTTCTAACAAGATCAGTCGCTTTATGTATCTTATATTCCCTCTTCATGCTCTCTGCAGAGTGTTTTCCAGTTGTTGGGATCCAGGCTTAGCTGTGATGGATTTTTAATTGCTCAGAGGATTTCCAATGTGCTGCATGTTACATAGGTTAAGAACTATTGTGCTGAAGAAGTTGTTCTGAAAACCAATGTCTTCCTTTTGGAGAAGGGTATCTGCAGCTGAATGGTCTCAGACAAATCTGCTCTTTCTCTTCCTTAGCTAAAGGTATCTGCACCTGACTTTACTCTGTTCTTCAGCTGTCTCTTGTCATTCTTATAATTAACATATTAACATATTAAACCTCAGCAAAAGAAAATAATCCTTCTCCAGCAGGCATTTCACCCTTCAACACTTGTAAACTGTAGCTCCACAATAGTTTCTTCAATGTGTTATCTAGCATCCTTAGCAAACAAGGTTTTGCCACTTCTGATCAGATCAAGGCATATGTGGCAGAGATGAAGCTGAGTATAGGAGCAGAGAGTGATTCAGACAGCAAGAACGCACTTTTCCTTGGGGTTACTCACAACACGGGAGATCCACACAGTTCACAATGCACACTAAGTAGGAGAGGCTCAAGGGACATTTCAAGCAATTACATACCATGATTAATATTTTTTCAACACGCTCCCACACCTAGTGAGCAGGTAAAACTGTTGCCAAGTTATTCCCTTGCTTTTCTTAAAACAACAGGAAATCAGCGATCTCATTATGCATGACTAATAAAGAACTATAAATAACAGTGCACGCAAACCAAAACTGGCATTTTACAGTGCTCCAAGTGTCCTCTATTGCATGAGGAGTCTTAAAATTTGGGTGCTAAAAGGGAACTTTTTGGCCAATGCCCTGAGAGCCTACTGTGACAACAAAACCTGAGACAGAGAGGAAAGAGAGCAAACAGAATATTATTTCTTTTTTCTATTAGTTCTTTCACTTCCATCAAGTGTATTTCTAGGCAGCTCTTTCCCACAGCATCAGGACAAAATCATTATCTCAAAGGATCTTCTCAGTATCATGAAATATTTAATTTGGAATCATGTATTTTCCCGCATTTCATCATCAATCTGCTCTCAGCAGTCAACTTTGCTGGCTTACACTAGACTTCTCCACTAGTCAAGGAAACGATTTGCTTTTGTGCAAACTGTCCTGCCCTCATCCTCTATTTTTAAGGTGCAATGTCTCTCTTCCACTTGCTACTTCTGCTAGTCTCTCTGAAGAGAGAGGAAAAATGTTGTAATTGG